TGTTGTCTTCTTCTAGTATGCTAGTCGATGAGGCCAAAGGTGCCATTTTGTGTAAAGGGCCTATTGGAAAAAAGGGCACCTTGTAACGTTCTTGAAGGCGTAATAACATTGAACTCTCCAAGTCTTGCATCGTGTTCCATATAGTCGCGACAGATGATCCGGTATCACTCATTGCTCTAAAGAAGTCTAGTATGTGTTCTGCAACTGTATTATTGAAAGCAGGAATTGGTACATCCTTAAACCTCAAGGGATGAAGCTCCGGCAACGGATCCAACAACTGAGAATCTGGAATTATAGTGAGTAATCAATGCAAACTTAAGCGAAAGATACAACATAATGGAAGAAAAAGATTAGAAGCTATACCAGCTAGTGGAGAATATATCTTAGTCATGTTAATACGTGTACTTAAGGTCCTATGCTTTCTAGGAGCCTTTTGGCCCTGTTACTTCTAGTACTCACTCCGTTCCATTTTACTTGTCATTCTTTTTGCACGCTCTATAAGAAAACATTAACTAAAAGCGTAATTTGACTAAATTATCCTTGTTTAGTATTTGATCTCACTTTACTACTACTCTCTTTTCCACCACATTAATTTCTTTCCACATTTATTGAGTAAGGGTAAAAGTGAAAACTAGTAGTTAATTATATCTTGGTTTTCTGTAATGACAAGTATTTTGGACCATTTATTTTTAGTAAGGACGGCTAGTAAAATTGACTAGAAAGTGTACCTTACATTGCTATTTTTATTTTCTATAATGTTGGCTTGAGATGAATGTAAATATGGAACATGGTCTGTGAGGATTCATATAGCCGACCTCAACTTTTTTGTGACTGAGGAATAGTTATTGTTATCGAAATGATATTTCACTAAAATCTTGAAGCAGAGGATATGTTTGTTCTCATACCTTCTAAAGGAAAATATTTTTCTGGTTGCTGAAAAATGGTGACCATAGAGTTCATACATGCAGCACTGAAAGTGTGCAGGACAATGCTGGGAAGCCTCAGCTGAGTGGCTACATCATCGACAAAAAACATGTTGTTGTCATAAATAATACAGGTGAGCTGATCACCTTGCACATCCTCTTCCTGTTCCTGTTCCTGTTCCATCATCCTAACGAGGTAATTTCTCAAGGGCGCCTTACAGCTCTCGTTCATACGATATATACTCTTTACACTCGGGAATGACATGTCAATTCCCTTTAATCCGTCATCCATAGAATGGAAGATGAATTCAGGATGATTGGAATAATTGGGACTATTGTATTCAGTATGTGCAACTATGACAGAAAAGCCTTGTGAATGAAGGATACTTCCAAGCTGCAGCATTGGTGTTAAATGCCCTTGGAGAAGGAATGGCACTAGTACTACACTCTGTTTCCTTTCTACTTTCATCTTTTCTTTCTTGGAATTTCTTTTCAATTCAAGAGTTTAGTAGTATAACTCTCAAACTTAAAAAGTATTTGGGTTAACGTGAACCAATAGCTTTTGCTCTCATTATCTATTTGTAGTGTACTACGAAATTTTCCTAAAAATCTATAAATATTAACTCGAGATTCAGTTATTATTATATATTAACTTGAAATCGTTATAAAAACCAACTTTTTTTCCCCTGATATTTTTTGGATTTCGAAATTCAAACAAATCTTTCTTTCACCGTAATTTTTTCATATATTTTTTAAATATCTTGAATTACAAATTATTGTGACTATAACATTTTTTGCATTGGTTTTAACTATGTAAATTGTATTTTAAAAAATCTATGCGTGAATTCATGATCAAAATAAAATTTATTGACTTTCGAAATTCAAATTTTGAATCCGTCTTTGCCTGGTACTTGATATTGAATGAGTGGTGATAAAATTGAAACTACTCACCATTTCCAATCGCAAAAAGGGAGTAACAAGAGCCACAAGTAAGCCTCATACTGCTTGTGCCTTTAATATGCATGTCTTTTAGTCCAATAATTCAGTATTCATGGACCAGACAATAACATCAAGAAAAGTTGATGTGCAATGTTTTCAACATGTTTTGTTTTTTTAATCGTAGTAATTCAGTTAGTTGATTATTTGATTTTTTACCTCGTTGGTGAGGGTTCGATTTCTCACCTTGTAGGTTCTTTTTATTTATTATAGGGAAAAGGGTCAAAATTACCCCTCAACTTTGTTTTATTAGTTGACTTTACCCTTACCATTAAAAGCAAGTTATTTTTACCCCTGTCGTCAATAAACTTAACAAATATATCCCTCCTTGGACGGAAACCCCCAAATCAATTGAAATTACCCGATTTTAATTGAAATTATCCAATTCCTTTTTTAACCCGAACCAGAACCCACCCAGAATTTTAAGGGTTGTGCTCAAGATAATTTGAATTGGGTTCAATCTCAACCCATTCAAGCCTAACCAATTTTAAGAGAATCCCAATTGAGCCCAATTCAATCTCCAATTTCAACCTGTTTTAAAGGTATGAATTACACCCTCCGTCCACAATTGTTTGGCAAGTATACTAAAAATAGATGTCCAAGATTAATTGTCAATTTAAACAATCAAGAAATAATTAGTCATTTTTTTCCAATTCTGCCCTTAATGATTGTGTAGTTCAATTGAAAAGGTATGTGGACTTTTGGTATTCTTGACATAGTAGGGTTATATTAGTCAAATTACACCTTGTATTAAATTTTCCTTGAGGGATGTGCATGACCTTACCCTAACAAACAATTGTGGACGGAGGGAGTATTATCTATTTAACATCTTTTAGGATTTATCTATCCATTTGTAACTTTTTTTAAAAAAAATCTTGAGCTGAAATTTGAATTGTGATTATAAAAGTTAAATATCACTATGTTAAAATTACTGAGATTAATCAGGTCAAATTGGACGGGTCAAGACCCAACCCATTTTTTAGCCCATTTAAACCCAACCCATTTGAGCCCAAAGTAAACTTGGGCGGGTCAAGACCCAACCCAATTTCTATTTCAACCTATTTTAATATCTCTAATTTCAACTCAACCCATCATTTGACACCCCTACTTATAAGCATAAGCAATGCATAGCCAAAATGACCTTACTCTATTAATTATTCTATTTTTTTAAAAAAAAAATCAGAATATTAGTTAGTGCTAATAAATAAAGCCATCAGCCAAGAAATTAATTGACTAGAAATTAAGTTGAAACAATCAAGTTTAAAATTTGAAAAATTGTTGGAATGCAAAGAATTGTTGAGATTGTATTGTATTGTCTGCTAATATTTTTACTTCAATTGTTGCTTGCAAGACCATAAAGGTAACGATCGCATGCAAAAATATGGAAAAAAAAAGAGGAGAAAAAGATGAAGACGATCACTCAGAATGATAAGCGCTCAAGGTGCTTGACAAAAAGACCAGAGAAAAAAAAAACACCAAATAGAGCACTTGTGCTCCTAATTGGATATGGAAACAGAGAGAAAAAATATCTAACAAATGGATAAAGCCATGGAGAAGATGGTGTAGTGAGTTAAAAGATTGATTCCAAGATTGCCAAATTGATTGCAGGACAACCATAGCTCTGGATACTCGAGCTCAAGCACCCTCCCCTGCCGCTTTTCAGGTACAAAAGTCCTCCCCTATGGCTGCCTTCTAGACTTAAAATTTTTAATCACATTCGCAGTTACTTGTTAATGTATTAAAGAATAGACACATTATTTAACTGAATTCAATCCTGTATATGATTTGTTGGTATACGAGGAAATATTGGTAGATATGGAGCACATTGATGCCAATAAGGTCGAAATTTCACATGCTGGACAGTGATCCTAGTCTCAGGTTCTTGCTTAGATTAGCCTGATGGGATTGAAGTATTCAATCCTGAATCATCGAGGTCTTCTTTAAATGTCATTTCCTTCTGTAAATGTGACTAGCCTGACTACTTGGCTAGTCTCATAGAAGACCGAGAAATCAATAAAAGAAAAAAGATGTGCCATGATTTGAACTTGGAATCTTTTGTGAGTAAGAAAAAAAAATATCAAGTTAGACCTCGTAGAAAAATGAAACAAGGAGTTCCAAAACCATATCCAAAATGGCCTTATTCTTGCCTTCTTTGGCACTTTATGACCACCCCTCTACCCTTCAACCTAGTAAAACACTCATATATTTAGAGGAATTTATCATAGTGAGGAGGAGAGCCTTTATGTATGTCCAAAGACTTTAGATGCAGTATTTAATCAGCAGCAGCACGATCAAGTGATTGAATGAAAATCACCCTTGACAAAATAAACACCCTATTAATTACCTTGACAAATGTTTGTTAGTTATTTATTTATCCTCTCCTCTAGCCTAATCACTCTGTTTCAGAAAATACCGTGGTGTTTATCACTCCAAAAACTATCATTTCTGCATGTGAAGTCGTTCACTAGTATTCACTAGTATTTACATGATCATAATTGGACTGACCAGGGGTTGTGCCTCAGGTCGGTGTTGGGGTGAAGTCGGGTCAAGTCCTGATCTATGTTAAGGGTGGGATTCAAAGTCTGGGTCCATGTCATAGTATTTGCCCAGATTATACATAAATACTCATGGGACAACATTTTCTTTATACTAACCGAACACCAGGAAATAAGTAAGAAAACCATTTATTTTCCACAAAAATGTTTTCTAGGAAAACATATTCATTCATACCAAACACAACCATTGTTTTACTAGCTCCCTCCATATTATATTTTTAACATAGGGATAACAAAGAGTAAATATATCTCAGTTCTAACAACTAGCAAACAATATGTCAAAGTTCCCAACTAATTAAACAAATCAACAGACTAAAATAATAAAGTTTTGTGATTGTAGCAGGCTGCTATATTGCTTCAGCATTTACCCCACGGACTTCAGAAAAGTTCACTAATTATCTTATTCTTCCTTTTGTGATTAAGGACTTTTTGTCTTGCAAGGCTAACAGGCAACAAAAAGTTTGTAATTCTTCTAACTTCAGGACTCTATGATACACTTGCTTGCTATATTTGATCCAACAACAGGTTATGGCAGAACGAACCGTGATGGCAAGGCAGAAATGAAGTCTACCAAATCATTTAGATTCTTATGTGAAGTACCATCAATCTGCATACCAGCAACTATGTTATGTTTCATGTCTACTACTCTTTTCTTCAGATCTTTGCCTTCTTCACTTAACATGAGTTTTCTTACTGTTTTCTCTATGACCGTTCTCTCGACAACCTCCAATTCGAACCCAACCTTGTATATTTGGCTCAGATACCTAGCTGTCACTGGCTGGTCTGCTACAAATGGCCTGCATATCAAAGGGACTTCCTCCAAAATACTTTCAAGCGTAGAATTCCAACCACAATGAGTGAAAAAGCCTGCTACCGCGGGATGTGCAAGCACCTGTTTTTGTGGTGCCCATTTCACTATTCGTCCTCTTTCTCCTACCATTTTTTCAAAACCATCAGGCAGTGCCTCAGCACATTGAAAGCCAGAGACAGAGCCAGGTCGAATAACCCACAAGAACGGTTGATTACTATTAGCTAATCCCCAAGCAGTCTCAGTTAGCTCTTTGTCATCAATCCTCATTTGGCTACCTAAGCTGACATAGAGAACCGAGTTAGGAGCTTGTCTGTCGAGCCACTTGATGCAGCTGTTATCTTCTTGTAGTATGCTAGTCGATGAGGCCATAGGCGCCATTTTGTGAAAAGGGCCTGTTGCATAGAAGGGCACCTTGTAATGTTCTTGAAGGCGTAACAATATTGAATTCTCCATGTCTTGCATCGTGTTCCAAATAGTCGCAACAGATGATCCTATATTGCTGATTGCTCTAAAGAAGTCTAGTACCGGTTCTGCAACTGTATTATTAACAACAGGAATTGGTACATCCTTAAACCTCAAGGGATAAAGCTCTGGTAACGGATCCAACAACTGAGAATCTGGAATTGTAGTGAGTAATTAATGCAAGCTTAAGCGAAAGATACAACATAACGGAAGAAAAAGATTATAGGCTGAATTATCCTTCTAGTACTCACTTTGTTCCATTTTACTTGTCATTTTTTTTGCACACCCTATAAGAAAACAATAACTTAAAGTGTAATTTGACCAAATTATCCTTGTTTATTATTTGATCTCAATTTAATACTACTCTCTTCTCCACCACATTAATTTCTTTCCACATTTATTGAGTAAAGATAAAAGTGAAAACTAATAGTTAATTATATCTTGGTTTTCTAAAATGACAATTATCTTGGACCATCTATTTTTTGTAAGGATGGCAAGTAAAATCGACTGGAAAGGGTACCTTTCATTTCTACTTTTATTTTCATTTTCTATAATATTGGCTTGTGATGAATGTAAATAGGGAACATGGTCAGTGAAGATTCACATAGCCGACCTCAACTTGTTTGTGACTGAAGCATAGTTATTGTTATCGAAATGATTTTTCATTAAAATCTTGAAGCAGAGAATGTGTTTGTTCTCATACCTTCAAAAGGAAAATATTTTTCTGGCTGCTGAAAAATGGTGATCATAGAGTGCAAATATGTAGCACTGGAAGTGTGCAGGACAATGCTGGGAAGCCTTAACTGAGTGGCTACATCATCTACGAAAATCATGACATTATCATAAACGATACAAGCGAGCTGATCACCTTCCTCTTTCATCATTTTAACAAGGTAGTTTCTGAGGGGCGCCTTGCAGTTCTCATTTTTTTTTTTTTTTTTTTTACCGTGGTTTCCGGGCGTCGCTTTGCATTCTCATTCAAATCATATATGTTCTCTAAACTCGGTAATGATATTTCAATTCCCTTTAATCCGTCATCCATAGAATGGAAGACGAATTCAGGATGATTGGAATATTTAGGAGTATTGTATTCAGGATGTGCAATTATAACAGAAAAGCCTTGTGAATGAAGGATACTTCCAAGCTGCAGCATTGGTGTTAAATGCCCCTGGAAAGGGTATGGTACTAGTACTACACTCTGTTTTCTTTCAATTTTCATCTTTGTTTTCTTGAGTTTCTCTTCTATTCAAGAGTTTAGTAATAGTGTTCTTGAAGGAAGTTTATGTATACAAGTTTATAGTTAATTTTGTACTAGTTAATTTAATTTGTGTTAACTTTGTATTATTAAGGTCAAAACTTCATTTACAAATTTTGTACTGGTTAATTTAATTTGTTTTACCTTTGTATTATTAAGGTCAAAACTTCATTTACAAATTTTGTACTGGTTAGTTTAATTTGCTTTACCTTCGTATTACTTAGGTCAAAACTTAATTTACAATTTTTGTACTAGTTATTTTAATTTGTTTTACCTTCGTATTATTAAGGTCAAAACTTCTGTTACAAATTTTGTACTAGTTAATATAATTTGTTTTACCTTTGAGAGTGTTGGATACCAAGTCTGGGTGTACATAAATAATCTTGGGACAATATTATTTTATCTCAGAAAGCTACTCAACTTTGAATGTTATTCCAAAAATCACTCAACTATGAATGTTTTACTTACAAAGTCACCCAATTTTGATTTTTATTCCAACAGTTACTCACTTACGAAGTCACTCATAATCGAATGTCCATATAAATATCGAATATCAAATGAGTTGAAAACAAAATTAATAAATACTCTTGGGTCAAGTTGGGACCCGGGATTGGGTCGAGATTTGAGATTGGGGTCAGGAGTCGGGTCCTCATCGGGGTTGAGGTCTCTGGACGGGGTCATGGATCTGGGTTGAGGTTAGGTCCAGAGTTAACTTCAGGTTGCAGCTCGTGGCATGGGGTCAGTTGTCAGGTCCTAGGTTAAGGTTAGGTTAGGGTCTGATCGAGGATCAAGTTTTGAGTCGGTGTCGAGATCAGGGTTTTGTCTTAGGTCAGTGTTGTCAAGTCCGTGTCTATGTTATAGGGTGGTTCCAGATCTATGTGTAAATAGATACTCTTGGGACAATAATATTCTTTACTAATCAATCAGAAAATAAGTAAGAAAATCATTTATTTTTCACGAAAATATTGTCTTACTAACTAGGAAACAATATGTCAAAGTTCCCAACTTATAAAACCAACCAACAAACTAAAGTAAACTGCTTCAGCATTTGCACCATGGACTTATGAAAAGTTCACTTCTTATCTTATTCTTCCTTTTGTAATTAAGGACTTGTTGTCTTGCCAAGCTAACAGGCCACAAATATATGGTTTGATCTCAAAAATAACTTCAAGACTCTATGATACACTTGCTTGCTATATGGTTTGGGCTCATGATTGCCCCAACAACAGGCAATGGCGGAGCGAGCCGTGATGGCAAGGCAGAAATGAAGTCTACCAAATCATTCAGATTCTTATGTGAAGTGCCTTCAATCTGCATAGCAGCAACTATGTTTTGTTTCATGTCTACTACTCTTTTCTTCACATCTTTGCCTTCTTCACTTAACATGAGTTTTCTTATTGTTTTCTCTATGACCGTTCTCTCGATAGCCTCCAATTCGAACCCAACCTTGTATATTTGGCTCAGATACCTTGCGTTCACCGGTTGGTCTCCTAAAAATGGCCTGCATATCAAAGGGACTTCCTCCAAAATACTTTCAAGCGTAGAATTCCAACCACAATGAGTGAAAAAGCCTGCTACCGTGGGATGTGCAAGCACCTGTTTTTGTGGTGCCCATTTCACTATTCGTCCTCTTTCTCCTACCATTTTCTCAAAACCATCAGGCAGTGCCTCAGCACATTGAAAGCCAGAGACAGAGCCAGGTCGAATAACCCACAAGAACGGTTGATCACTATTAGCTAATCCCCAAGCTGTCTCAATTAGCTCTTTGTCATCAATCCTCACTAGGCTACCCAAGCTGACATAGAGAACAGAGTTAGGGGCTTGTCTATCGAGCCACTCGATGCAGCTGTTGTCTTCTTCTAGTATGCTAGTCGATGAGGCCAAAGGTGCCATTTTGTGTAAAGGGCCTATTGGAAAGAAGGGCACCTTGTAATGTTCTTGAAGGCGTAATAACATTGAACTCTCCAAGTCTTGCATCGTGTTCCATATAGTTGCGACAGATGATCCTATATCACTCATTGCTCTACAGAAGTCTAGTATCGGTTCTGAAACTGTATTTTTGATGGTAGGAAACGGTACATCCTTAAATCTCAAGGGATGAAGCTCCGGTAATGGATCCAGCAGCTGAGAATCTGAAATTGCATAGAGTAATCAATGCAAACTTAGCAAAAGATGAGCATAATGGAAGAAAAATGTACCAAAATATTTTACTGAAACTGTAAAATAACTTTACTTGTCATTTTTTCTGTTTGCACGCCCCTTAAGAAAACATTAACTATAAGGATGATTTTTTCATTTAGATGTTGAAGCAGAGTATGTGTAATTGTTCTCATACCTTCAAAAGGTAAATATTTTTCAGGTTGCTGAAAAATGGTGATCATAGAGTGCAAATATGCAGCACTGAAAGTACGCAGGACAATGCTGGGAAGCTTCAACTGAGTGGCTACATCATCGACAAAGAACATGACGTTGTCATAAACGATACAAGCAAGCTGATCACCTTCCTCTTCCATCATACTAACAAGGTAGTTTCTGAGAGGCGCCTTGCAGTTTTCGTTCAAATCATACATGTTTTCTAAACTCGGAAATGATAGGTCAATTCCTTGTAATCCATCATCCATAGAATGGAAGACGAATTGAGGATGATTGGAATAATTAGGAGTATTGTACTCAGTATGTATAACTATAACAGAAAAGCCTTGTGAATGAAGGATACTTCCAAGCTGTAGCATTGGTGTTAAATGCCCCTGGAATGGGTATGGCACTAGTACTACTCTCTGTTTTCTTTCTATTTTCATCTTTGCTTTCTTGAATTTCTGTTCTTGATGGAAGTTTATATATAAGTTCTTAATTAAGGTTTGGAACTATGAGGACTGCAGAAGCGGATCTAGCAAAGTATGGTTTCACGTGAACCCAATCAGAGTCGTATTCAGGATTTCGGAATGATGGGGGCATTATTATGAAAAAGTGGATCTAATTGATATGATATTTAGGTTTTTATCATTGAAAATAGTTAAAAATTTAAAATTATAGGTCCAAAATTGAAATGCTTAATTAAATAAAACGCCAAAAGTGCTATCAATAACAACTTAGAGAGGTGTTACCCAATTTTAGAAAGAAAAATAAAACAAGATAGATATAAATTTCAAATTTCTAACCTCACTAGAGGTGCACCCAATCATCGTCACATTATATGATACTTCATGACTCATGTGTGGGTTCACACATTTATATTTAACAAAAATTAAAAAATATAACACTATTATATATGATTTCGGGAGGAGAACATGGGTTCACGTGAAGCCGGTGACTTTGAACCCAATAGCTTTTGTCGAGATCATGCATTTATATTGTACCAAGATTGTGTTTCAATGGAGTTCAATTTTCCTATGTTCATTCGTTAAAGAAAATTTCATGTTAATTGTGTATTTCTCACTATCCAACACACCTCATCTTTGCTCCTACACACAGAGCCTCATCCTCACCGCTCCACCTTCCACAGTGTTTGTCTAAGTTATACACAAATGCTTTTAGGATAATATGTTTTATTTACATATTGCATAGAAGAAAATAAGCAAGAAACAAACTTAATTTCCTTGAAAATATTTTTCATGAAAACCGTTTTCTCTTATATTGAATACACCCTTTCACTAAATATCTAGCGTAAAACTAATTATTATTATTATTATTATTATTATTATTATCATTATTATTATATATTAACTTGAGATCGTTCTAAAAACCTATAAACTTCACTTTCTATTGATTAGGTGTGTTTGGTCATAAATTTTAATTCATTCTTTTACTTTTTCTAGAGTTGTAAAAACTCTAATAAAATTTTGAAAAAATACCAAAAAGTTATTTTCACTTATTTCACTCCATATCACTCACAAAAAATTAAAAACAATTTCAATTTCTAAATATCATTTTTTTTACTTTAAAACTAAAATTTTGCTACTAGTTGATTTTTAATGAGTGGTAATGATATTGGGAAAACTCACCTTGTTAATCACAAAAAGGGAGTGTAATTCTAGAACTATGATTTCTTTGGAGGCTTATCAACAAGTAGAAGATGCCTCGAATTTGACAATGGTATTATTTGTCTTTATGTATTGTCTTCTAGTCCAATAATTCAGTATTCATTGTCGAGAAAATAATATCAAGAAAAGTTGTCATTTTATGTAGAATTTTTGTAACATGTGGTCCTTTTGTACAATTACTATTTGTTTTTTTTTGTGTTTGAGCAGACCGGAGAGGGGCGATGAAAATTTTAATAGTTCGATTAGTTGATTATTAAAAAAATTATCTTATTATTTAGAATTTTTAATTTTGGCAAGTGTCAATTTTTTGACGAGGTGCTCGAAATTCGTTCGAAACTCTGTGTCATTAAATTTGATACTCTAGACTCAACCAAGCAGTTGATACTTCCAATTGAGGTTGACTCAACAAAAACTGGATCCCACGCTCAAACTCCATTTTATTTCAAATTTCACGAGGGGGCTCGAAATTAGTCCGAAGCCTCGGGATCTGCACTAAAGGTCATATTTTTTAATATATACATAAAGTAGATGTTAAACCTTCTTATTGAATACAGTGTCTCGACCACTATATGTATTATATCCGATTTTATCAATATCTTTTGTAATTTTTCTCTTCTCTAGATAAAATTGAAAAAAGAGTTTTTTGAATGATTAAAGACTTGTTTGGATGGGCTTTAAATGTCTTTAAATATAAGTTAGGAATTCTGACTTAGTGATCTATTTTTGTTATTTTATCCAACAACAATATACTTAATATAATCCCACAATTGAGATATGGAAAGCATGGAGTGTACGCAGACCTTACCTTACTTTATCGACTCTTTTTCATTTTCCCTAAACACTACAAAAATGTTTAGAACATCTAAAATAAGTCAATATAAACAAGCTCATAGTTTAACACAAATTGCTACTCTGGCAAAGTGCTTCTTTTGAGTATTTATTTCTCAAAATAGTAGATTTTTGAAAGTGTGCTCAAACATGCTCTTATTCATTAGCACCTAATTTATTACAAAAATAAATCCATGATCAAAGGAGGAAATAACTCTTACATGTACTCTCTAGTAGACATACTACAAGCAGGCACTTGAATAGTGGGAATGTGAACAAATACAATTGAAAGAGGAGCAATGGAAATTGGATCAGAGGGGTTCACTCTTATAGGTTTCAAGAGAGGGATTCTTCCAAAATGATCCACATTACGTTCCTTTCCATTCAAAAGCACTGTTTGGCTATGTAAATCACCATCTTTGGCTGTAAGGTGGTATTCTTCCCTCTCAATTCCGTGTCTCGGGTTCTGATCATTCGTGACTTGTAGCAGCATTGGCGACTCGTTTGTGTTAGCAAGTGTGACTGAAAGACTAATATTAACTGTTGTACTACCATGCATGTTGATCAACATCAGTGCGATTCCTTCCTGCAACATATCGATTATGTATTTAGACATCACAATCTCTCATGTTCGAATTTACACTATTTATACTTACAGAAGATTTTGAACAGTGAGCGTATGAGCGCAGTTTTTTCATTCCTTGGAACTGTGTCGATAGAACATTCCTTCCCATCAAACGATGCCATAAAAGAGCACTGTATGCATGAAAGAGAATGCAAGTAACAATAAGTATAATGCTAAACAAGTATGTTACATTACGAAGTTAAACATGTTCTACATTAGTTCTGTAGATGATGCAGTTAGTCTTGTTTTCAAGAAAACAACATTGAAGAGCTGCTAAATACCCATAATAATCAGGATTTGGATGAAAGTTTGTGGTGTTGAGGAGACCGTAGTTGCCACCAACCAATGTTTGTCGACAATATTTCTTAGTATCGAACGTGGCTGACATCCCAATCTGATCCAAGTACCTATATATTGCAAGATGCAAAATCACTTCTATGAAATATTGACAAGAAAGTTACCAGAGGTATAGATAGACCAGTTAGGTTGAATTATTACCAAAAGCTGGACACGAAGCTATTTGAAACAAGATTGCGACCACTGTTATAAACTCCTCCACTTTCACCAACCCATGCTACAGCTGAAGTTCCAGAATTTCGGAGAACGCCTTGAAGATTTTGCAAGTATTTGGATTCTTCATCCAGATGAGAAGGTTCAAGTATTTTCTGAACTAGGTTGGGGTCATTGCCTAAATATGAGATGATCCGTTTGTTAGCATGATGGACAACTAAATGATTGTATATATTACTATAATTATATTAGCATGATCATATACATTTGTTGTAGAATCAAAAGAATAAATATTGTGATAGAATAGCTGATTTGGAGGAATAGCAAGGCAGATTTAGAGGGATTGAATAGCAGATTTGTAGAGATAGAATAGCTGATCTTTAGGGATAGGATGGCGGATCTTTCGGGATGTGTAATCTTTATTTTCTCTATATAATGGAAAGACTCTCACTTTGAGGGGCATTCAGCAGAAAATTGACACCGTTATAACAATTACAGTGGCTGAGCTAGGTACCTAGGATTAGGAGAAAATTAAAGCTTACAACAACAACAACATACTCAGTGTAATCTCACAAGTGGAGTTTAGGGAGGGTACGCAGACCTTACCCCTTACCTTGGGAGGCAAAGAGGTTGTTTCTGATAAACCCTCGGCTCAAGGAAAAGCATATTGAAAAAAGAAATAATGTAAGTGAAGAAATCATGGAAAATTACTATAGGAAGTATGATGACTATTCTGAAAAAAGGAACAGTAACTGCAACACAATATTGCAATAATCGAAGTTCAAGAGACAAAAGATAGAATCAGAAATCGAAGGACAAGAAACTACATGAGAAATACTACGACTACAGGGAATATTAAAGCTTCATCACATAAAAAGAGCTTAACGTACCACCACCAACACTGTAAATGAATCACATAAAAAGAGCTTAACATACCTCCACCAACACTGTAAATGTGATGTGTAACTACTTGAAGAGAGTTGGATGCTTTATTTATAAATTTTGGAAACCAAATAGCATCAAATATTCCTCCTGGTGCAAGGATTAATGGCACAACATCCTTCTCTTTATATATATCTTGCACTAATTTGTGAAGAGCTATAACATCATAAGCGTACTGATCGGCTGAAATAGCTGGCCCTATTCCGTTTCCATTCAATTCATTTCCTGGAAAGAAACTACAAATGTAAATCAAATGTAGCAGAGAGTAGGCCAAGATATGATCAACAGTTTCAGAGTTGGCTTGTGTTATTGTGTTCCTATGGAAGGAAGTGGTCCATGCAAACCTGTCTTACGGAAGCCCTTTGACATTTATTTTCTTGTTCAAGAGAAAGATTATGGATATACTGTCAACTACAATGGAAACGTTCCCTATCGCTACTTACTGGAAATTGATGCATATGCTCTTTCATACGATAACAAAAAGAATACTGGACCACAATACAAGGATAATGCTCATACTACTTGCTCTTTACAGTATTGTTAATTCTATTACATTTATGCTACATTTGCATATCTGCATACCCTTAAAATAACTGTAGTTAAAGAATGGAGAGAGTTTCATACCAAGCTCCCAGCCGTGGATAGTATAATTTCTGCTGACTGTATATCTGATTAAAGACGCTGCATTGCTGGAATCCCAATCTCCCAAAGCAGTGCGGCCATCAGAAGCTATTTTCTTTCCATTTAAAGTATTCAACCCAAAAGTTACTTTTGCCCTGCAATGATATACATAATAGCTCTTCACTAACAAGAACTCAGTCCATAACTATCACGTCCCTATACGATTTTCCTCACTCAAGTTTAAAATGCAGAAAACTGCACGAAGTAAAGTTACCCCGTTTTCTTGAAGAATTCGCTGAGTTCATCCCAACGAGACAAAGGCAAGCAACCTTGGGTGAATTTTAACAGCTCTGTATCATCACGGAGAAAAGGAGTACATGGTTGTTTATCATGCTTCGTTTGGTATATTAGTCTATCTTGCAATGTGCCTCCAAGTCTAATTGTTAACGGAGAAAACGCTGCAAAATGCAGGAGAAAACTTCACTAGTTACTCATTAATCAGAAAACTACTAAACAAATTTTGAAGGTATCATGGATAGGTGTCTCTCCAAAATTTTATACCTCTAATTGCATTAAAAAATACCTTGTTGCTTAGATCCTGCAATAAAGAACACTTCCCATCAGTCCAATGAGATGTAAGGTTGAACATAGCATAATACGCTCAATGGTGTAGCCGAGTAGTCAATGAAGTGGATTGAACCACCCGTCTTCGGTTCAAATATCAGTAAACGCAAAACAACTAGATGATTTCTTTCCATGTGTCCAAGTCTAGACAGAGTTACCCGCTACCTGTGTAGGTAGAAGGTAACATGTACCCCATGAAATTAGACTTCCGTAATGAAAATACGAAAACAAGTTTCATTAATGACATTCCGATTTCATTGTCTCTTCCCAACCCACACACCTAACGCTCCCACCATCACCCCCCACCCAAACCACCTCCCCACCCCATAGTGTTTTACTAGATAACATATAAATATTTTTGAGATAATAATTTTTTTGCTTACTTACCAACCACTTGAAAAGAAAAAAAAACTCACTTATTTTCAAGGAAAACATATTCCTGCCTAAAATTATCAAAATATGAAGAATGTATAGTGGGTATAGTGGTTTACACTACAATATTAATATGAAACCAACTCATAAATTAACATAACCACAAATCAAATAGATTATACAACAAGTAAGCAGAGAAATGATTTTTCTAGGCCACTTCCAAAAAAAAAAAAAATAGTTTATGTCCTTTTTTACAAAATATCTTCATTTTTACACCTAAAAAGATCCAAAAAGGTTCATTTTCTCCTCTAGTACTGAAGAAATTATAAAGAGTGGAACTTACAAGATTAAGAAGAGAAGCATTTCCCCAGCTACAAGTTCCATAGTCACATTTACTAGGAGGCCACCAATCTAAAGTTGCACAAATAAAATCTTCATCAATTTTTGCAATTGAAGAAAACCCATCAATGTAAAGAATCCCTTCTTCAACAATATCTTCTTCTGCTCTTGAAATTTGGGTGACGTACAAGGACAATAGCAAGAAGTACAACACCAAGAAGCATAAGGAAGAAGCCATTTGCACAGTTCTAGTAAGTAATTTTACACTCAAATAAAATTTGGTCTCAAGTTCCCTTATATTTTCTTCTCATTTTTGGAATTTTGTAATGAAAATAGCATTAGATGTCCACATGTAGGAGTAAATGCATAAAAGACAATAATTTTTCTATATTATATACTTATCATACATGTGGGAATCGTGTGCGCCATCCAGCATTTTTGGTTGCTCGCTCCGCTTCGTTCACTTTTAATATATTTAAATGTGACACATTCAAAATAATACTTTTGTTGTTCACTTTTACTTATCACTTATTTTTAAAATATGTTTTTTTTTTCATATGTTACTCTTAGTATTAAATATTATTCTCCAAATTATTTTTCAAGATCTAATATTACAACATTAATTAATAGAGATAATGTAATAAAATAGATATATCAGTAATTATTTTCTTAGTGATTGTGCCAAGTCAAAGTGACAAGAGAAAATGAACAAAGGAAGTAATTGGTATGATTATTATATTACATTATTCTGATATTTAGTATTAGGCTTTGAACATAAATAACTAAATTAATGTTAAGAATAAAACATACAAAAAAAAATAGTAATTATTGTTTTGTGATATGTTAAAAGTGACAAGTACAAAATGAATTTTTATTTTTAAAATAATAGACAAATAAAAATAAACAGAGAGAACAATTTGACATACTTTTTAAGGAACAATAAATAGAATAATAATTTTGCTATATCATTGTTTGAATTTATACTTTTCTGTTTAAAATAAAATTGTGTTTCTTAAGTTAAGCACATATTTTAAGAAAATTATTATTTTTTAGAAAGTAACATGTATTTTTACTAACTTAATTTTAATAAATTCTTTATTATGTGAACTTTTTTTTATTTAAATAAGAATAAAATTGAAATAACATTATCAATGTCTTTTTTATCATGTGAAATACCATTTGTTCTGATATGTTGGAGTAACAAACTTAGTACTCTTTCCGTTTATTTTTAGTTGTTATATTTGAATTCAAAACATTTATTAAGAAAATAATAATTGACATAACTATTTATCACTCTATTATTATTAATTGATGTATTAATCTTGTAAAACAATTTAGAAAATAAATAATTAATACTAAGAATAAAAATATTAAAAAATAATTATTTTATATGTTCAAAATTATAATAAAAATAAAATTATATTTTTTAAAATAATACTCCCTCTGTCCCTAATTACTTGTCCATTTTTGAATTGGCACACCTATTAAGAAATCAATTATTGACATAGTGAGTTTACCTTTTTACCCCTATTAGTTATGAAGTAGATGAATTAAAAATTTAATATTTTTAAAAAGTTCTACATTTTCAAAGTAATTAATTGAGGATATAATAGGAAAAAAGTTGTCATTTTTTTGACTTGTCAAAATGAACAAGTAATTAGAAATAACTATAAAAAGAAAAGTGAACAAGTAAATAGGGACAGTGGGAGTATGAAAAAAATTAACAAAGACTATTTTGGAAATTACTATAAGTAGATCTGATGAGTTTGGCCTTTGCATATCGGTGGGATCAACTTTAAAATTAGCAAAGTTGTGATCTCCATAAATATTTAATTTAGTCTCGAGATGTGTAAACGAAAGAATTAATTAAGTTGTCAATTAATGTAGGAATTCTGGAAAACTTCATGACAAATAGTTCACTTTTATTTATTTAATATTTTAAAAATAATTTTTTAATAAGTATGTACCTTGATTAATATGTATATTATGACAAAATATTCAAATAAATCATTATTTCTTAAAGGCACATGTAAAATTCAAAGTGAAAAAGTAAAAAAAGAACAGAGGAAGTAGTTAATAAAGAAAGTTACGAACTCCCTCCCAAGTCTAGACCAATTTACTTATATATTTTTTGTTTATATGACCCTTAAAAATTAATTTCTTCATCTCATATTACTTTTCCATATTATCAAAAATATATTTCCCAAATTACTTATCAATATACAAAATCAAAGTAGAATTACTTTATTTTTTCCCCTTCAATTTATTCCTTTTTGAAAATATAAAATACTATTTTATTTATTACTTCTTAAAGGATATGACATATAGAGTATAAACAGTAGGTGTAGTGAGACTTTACTAAACGTGTGTTTCGCAAAATTTAACAAGAATAAAATTGGTATAACATAATAAATTATCTCTTAATTTTTTCAAACTAAACAAATTAAACTAAATATTTTTCAAATATAGACCTCGGAGAATAAGGGTGGGGATGGGGGAGTGCATGGGGGTGGGTGATTACAAGGGTGGGAATGAGACGATACAAGTTGTTTTTCTTTTCATTATGGAAATCGTTTTCCTCAATTCTCAAGAAGTTTATTTTCCTATAAATAGATATTTTTCAATTTTTTGACTAACCAAACACGAGAAAATAGAAAAATTCATACAAAACGCACCCTTAAAGACTTGCCAAAAGTTTAGAATGTCTTATTTTTTCCCCTTTTGGCAAGGGTAAAAAATCAACAATGTCTCAAGCACTTGAATCACACCAGTTAGGATTTCTATCCTCAGTACATATCAAAATGAGACTTAAAGATTTCAATTTTACTGCAAAACTCAGTTCCTCAGCCTGTGAAGATAGAGGTAGTCTAGACAAACATTGTTAAGGTTGCGGGATCTCAGTAAAAATGTGGATAAGGCGTAGCGTCATCTTCTTTTCGCCTTCAAACAATAGCTACAGAAACTATAAAGGGAAAAACTAGCTGAGCTTCTGCCAGAAAAATGAACTAAGAAAGGCGAAGACAAAACTGTAGTAGTACCTACTATAAGGGTGCATTTGTCAAGTATGTCCTCTCGTAAAAGCCAGTTATTTGGTCAGCCACAGCCCACATAATCGCCTGTCCAGGTGGGATCCTCATGAGCCGGGGAATTAGTCCTTTCCATAAGGCACGTAATCCTTCTTCTGCATGTATTGTTGCGATGGCATGAAACATTCCTCTGTACTTCAACTCGCCCACAGATTTACTCTGAGCCATGAGCCTTGTTTTCACAACGTCAAATGGACCGGTGCATATAGGACCAGCTGTCCCTGCCAGGAATCCTGATATCATAGACTGCCATGGATGAAGAACTTTCCCATCACCTTCATGTTTCTTCCACAATATTGTGTCAAATGCATTCTTGGCTGTAAACATGGCGGCCTGATTCGTACCATTACGCATAACTGTTGGCGACGCACCTGCCCAGAGACCGAGAATGCCTTCTTCACGAACAATCATACGAGCACAGTGTACAGGTCCCTTGTATCGCAATAGCTCAGGACTTAATCCTCTCTGCTGCTGTAGTCTAATCTTCACCACCTGCATTGATCAAAATTTGACAATCATTCAGTGATTTATGCTGAATATCCTTTCAAAAATCTCTCTTCTGAATTCTGATATTGAGCCATTTTAGAGATGCTAGTATACAAAATATTATGCAAAGTCATGCAAATAACCAGAAATTAGTATCCTGTATACATAATTCTTGACAAGTGATACAGGACAACATTCAATTGGAACAGCGGATAGGTATTCCACTTCAAGCCTAGCGTCAACCGGCAAATGAAAGTAAAAACATCTCAACAAGCGACCATATACAAATGAGCAGAGTGTAATTATTTTACAGATGCTTTCATTACCCCTTCTAAAGACTTCTGTATTAAAAAAAATGCGAAACACATGAACAGTGCAGAATGCAAGCATTTTGTAAGTGCCCCTGGAAGGTTAAAGCATCCCAGCTAAGATAGGAGATAAGTGTTCCATACAAACATTTCCACACCATCCTTTTAGAACCTCTACATACTCGACAAAGCAATAGGTATCCATCACCATCAACTCGCCTATCTTTTCCATTGCAAAGATAATATCAAATTTGTAGTGCAATATGCTGCATGTCCATGGTAAACTTTAGTCCATTTATCAGGAACCAAATCTACTTCAAGAATAAAATCTACAACCTTTTGGACATTAATTTCTTTTAACTGTATGGTTATCAATATAAATTATTTAAAAACCCAATTAAGCCTGGTCAACAATCCAAATTTCTCCATTGTTAGAACTGCATTCATCCTCAAAATTAAAAAATGAGCCACTACGAAACTTAAATGGAAGAGAGGGGAATTACCCGTTGACCATCGTTCCACTACTTCCTTTTTGAATTTGAAAGATTTGGCTAACCTTGTACAATAAATGCATTGGCCCCCTCCACTCAATTTATTGCTTCTCATATCATATTCTTTTTCACATAAAAGATCACCAGATGTCACAAATCCACGCTATTTACAGGAGTTTTCACCGACTAACAATTAAATGAATGATACTTTTTGCCACCTAAAAGAAACATTAAGTGGAAAATCCACAAATTAGTCCTGTGTTGCACTCCCTAATTCTTTTCCATCTAGCACAATCTTGAATTGCTCGACATTTTGAGATAGCATTTAATTTCCACTATATTCTGCAGCACTTAATTTTCTTGTGCTCTTTGTTGTGTTGTAAGTTGTAATCATGGCATAACCTTTCAGCTCAACAATGTTACTCTATCTCCTCCTCTAACTTATATTTAATCCAACTTAGTATTCTTACTCCAACATCCTTCTCTAGAGCTGCACCAATATCTTTTCTAGATAAAGCACCACAGGTGCATAACCATATCTTGACTTTGGTTTGTCACTCTAGTAACTAGTGAAGCCATACTTCAGAGCACTTTTTCCTAGTTCCGTTTTACTGGTCCAACCTATCTTATCCAAGGAGAAGACAAAGTATGGTATACACCTACTCTCCCCTTAACCCTGCGCTAGCCAGGGAGCACTTCATACATGAGGTAACCTCTTAAGACCTTTATCATATTGTAAACTCCACTAGCTAAGGACCGCCTTCAATTCAATGGACAGTTGATGATCAACACTAATCAGAAACAATAAAAGTAGAACTGCTAATAATTCTGTGCATCAAAGTTGCCTATTTCAAAAAATAAAATAAAAAAATCTGTGCATATCCATTAATTTGAATGAACTACAAAATTCCTAGTACATATATTAATATTACAATTACTAAGTCCATAGTAGAACTGCAAAATCCCTGTTTTTTGAATAAGAATGATCAAGCTTAACAGAACCTTACTATCATCATCTTCTTTTTTTATAACTGAGATAACCCCAATGGACCAGTGGCGCATGGTTAGAAATTCGATGGATAATAGGTCCACTCCTCTACCCTAATACCAATTTTTTTGTCTACAGTAAGGTATGAAACCATGACGTACACCTTACTCACACATCACTTGTTGCACTCAGTCTTACCACTAGACCAAAGCCTTGGAGAAATCATCTATCCTAATATACATTTTTTCTCCTTCTTTGAAGCAAGCCACTTCCCTTAGAAAATTGTTCCAATTACCTAACTAAGAAAAATTGGCCATCTTTTTGCAAAGTGTGCTTGATCAACTGTAAAACCACACAAAGTCAGCTAAGGTCACAACTTATAGTGTCCACAGAACCTGTAAATGTTTAACCACATTAGATCTATCACTCAGTCTATGCCAAATTATTCATGGCTTTGTTTGAAACGGAAATCATGGATAATTGGAATGCTCTTCCACTAGGTGGATAAACTCTTCAAGTATATCATTCAATTAATTGACCTAATTTCTGTATTGAGGTCAGAGTTAAAAGTTTTATGTAAACAAAAGCTGGGTCTAAATTGGAGATGAAGTCAATTGTTTGATAATGAATGATAATCAAGAGAACTTAAGTCATCCTTAGCATGGTCATTGTTGAGTGTACATGAGAAAGAGACATAACCTCAGCTCTTGGAGAAGGCAGGACAAAAACCCCTAATCCATTCTTAAGGAGAAAATGTATTTGGGTTTTTTAAAGGGATATTTTGGCCCTACATTAGTTTTTTCCTTGTTGGAAGAAACAAAAAATAAAAATATGATTTGAGTACAAAAGGACGCACAAAACCTAATAATGTAGAGTATACTATGAAGACACGTGTTCAACCTAGTAAAACGGCATCATTGGTTCATATTTTAGAGGAATTTATCTTAGTAAGGAGGAGAACCTAATTTCCAAAGACTTAGATGCATTATTTAGCAGCACAGTCGAAGTGATTGAATGAAAACCACATTGACAAATAAACACCTTATAAACATTTGGTTTACCAAGTTGATTAGCTTCTAATTACCATTTGCACTTATGAAAACATGAGTAGCATTTAGTCCAAAACGAATGTTAGTTTTTTTACCCTCAGCTCTAGCCAAATCACTCTGTTTCAGACAGGGCAGAATGCATACACCCGTTATCACTCCAACAACAATCATTTCTGCATGTAAAGCGTGTATACTAGTATTGACACGATAATTAGACCCGACAATCCAAGGAGTAAATGCTTTATAGTCACATTCTCTCCGCATACACAGTAATCATTTCTTATCTTTTTTAGTATTAGATAAAAACAACTAATTTCCTTTTTTGGCTATGTTGGCTATGTTGTTTATATAGTTTTAGTTTACTTATATCTTTGTCCTTAATCACCTCCTTGTTGTCGACTTATCGTCGTACTTCAAGCTGTTAATTTTAGTTTTACTCATCTCTTTGTCCTAAATCATCTCCTTATTACTGTCAGTACTTCAAGCAGCAATCTCACCCACGAACAAAGCTAAATCATCAATTCATATGATTAAATAGTCTCAACTGATCTATTAATCGGATAAAAACGCTAGGTTGATTTCTTTCCATCTAGCTATCTGGTACCTGTCGCTGGTGGCACTGCGTGCAAGATTGCCAAGACACCACGGTTATCAAAAAAGAAAACTATCTACTATCAAAAAGGATTTGTTTGGGTTCCAAAGTTACACTAATTTACTGGATCAGAAATTAAGACAAACATGTTATGTGCATATATAGCAGATTCAACCCAATCAAAACTAAATCACGAGAAATTATGGAAATCAACAAACCTCAAAGGGCGTGACAATAACAAGAGCTTCAAGCACACCAGCACCAAAACCAGCCATCAACCGACCTTGCGGGCTAAGCTTACCCGTTTCCGAGTCCTTAAAAGCTGTCTGAAAAACCGCATTTGAACCCATACGCAACGCATACTTGAGAGTCAAATGAGTAGCGAATGGCGTCAATCCTTTCCACAAAGCCCTTACACCTTCGTTATTAACAATGGTAGAACCGCAGTGGACAATCCCCTTGTAAGCACCGGCCCGGTCCAGTTGAAGCCGGGTTTTGATAACGTCGATCGGTTGCAAACAACTGGCTTCAACGATTCCACCTAATGAGCCAGAAATGGCCTTCATATACGGTGGAATCGTTTTCTTGCTCCTTGAATTCTCTTCCGCCATTGAAGTTGATGAAGCAGAATGAGAAAGTATAAACGGCGCCGAGGTTTATTGGGTAACGACCTTCTCCTCTGCTTCAGTGGACAAAAAAGAGACGTGATGACATTGCATAAATTTTTTCTTTCTTTTTACTTTTCTTTAGATCTTGATTCGAAACTCACTAATATTTAGCACTAATATTTAGGGACGTTTCGTCATACAATATAAAATTATAATATGAAATTTTGTGAGATATTGAAATTTTGTTTAAATATGTCATTTAAATTTATTTCAGTTATTTGTATTAAAGTTTGATTAAATTTGAATATCCATTTGAGGAAGCACTCTTTGCGGGATTTTTTCCCGTATTCAATGGTGGTTAGTGCTATATTAATTTATTCGGAAACACAAGTGGACCTTATAATGTTTAGTTGTCCGCTTTGAATTTTAAACGTGTATATATGAAATAATAATTGATATTTGGAGAAAAAAGTAGTTAACATGAACGTAGTAAATATATTAATTGAAGTAAGGTACTCATTCATTAGATAAGTAATTAATGAGGTGAATTATGAAAAAACAAATTATTATTGTCTTTTTAAATTTATTAAAAGTAAAAATTAAAATTTGTTTTTGAAATAATAAATAAATTAAATGAACTGTATTTTCTTTTTCGCCTTTTTTTTTGGTCGTGGATTACGTTGTTTACTTATTCCCTTCTACTTTTTTTAATATGTATTTTTGAAAGACGGAGTCCTTCATTATTATTTTTTTATTTTTGGAAGACTGAGTTTTTCGTTATTATTTTTAGGAAATCGATTCACATTTTTGGCATAGTCAGCTTGTTGATTTTGGGTCGGTTCTAGGCAAAAATTGAGGTCATTTGTCAATTATGGTCCTTGATTCTGATTATTTTTTTAGTAATAAAAATGAAGAAAAATAATTAAATATTCCTCATATTGAGACGTGGATATCTCGATTTTTTAAGAAAATTCAAGTTCATTGTCATATAATTTTCACTAATTTAGCATTATAATTCTTTGTCCCCTTCAGAAAACATGAGTCAGATGGCTACTACTTTGTCATGCACTTTGCTTCACTTTATTTTTTAGACACAGCATTGTGTAACTCCAACAATTCTGAAATAATTGAAAGTCCAAAAATCCACCGAGACTAACATAATAAGTTGGAGATATAGAATATCTTTCTTTTTTTCATTCAACTCTCTTTTACCATTTCAACCTTAGTTTTCTCATCTCTCTTTCACCATTTCAACCATACTTTTTTAACCGTGCATACAAAATAAAGATTTTATTTTTATACAAGTCCAAAAGCTAAAAGGGCCCCTTTTCCCTCTAAAATGCACAAATAGCCAGTTGTTTTGTTAATTAACTAAAATGAACAAATCGCTCAACCTTGAACGAGATATCTCTTTTGGTTTAACTGACGACACATAATCATCTATTTCTTTTCCATATCTCACTCAGTAGTCTATTGAGCAATTTATACTTGAACTTCTTTTATTCCTTTTTTGCCTGCCGCTCAAACTTAAAATTAGGTGTAAAATTTCGCTTATTTTATCCACCTCAAATTTTACTTATATTAAGTAAGAAATTTTGGTGTAATTACCGCCATTGTTGAGTTAATGAAGATTATGCACTTTGAACTTCAGTTTAGGCTAGCATCATCAACACCATCAATTACAACTATTAACAATTATTGCTAGCACCATCACCTTATTTCGAAATTTTTGTGACCAAACTTATTTTCAAAATTTGTCATGCCAACTAGGGCATCTTTACAGGAGAGATTCAGTACAGAAATCACAAAAGGGAAAGAGAAAAAGGATGAAGCATTGATAATCAAACAATGCAACACAATTGAGTCATACAATACCAAATCCTCAAATGATAGTGTAACTTTAAGCATTTGTCTTCAAACTACTTTACAAACTGAGCTAAATTTTACTACATTCATTCCATTATTTGTGGAGAACACCAAGTTACAAAATCACCGGTCCTTGAAAGACTGCGAAGCATAAATTGGGAAATAAATAAGTGTTAGTCACTAGTTCAACAGTATTTATACTTTGATTGAAAAAGATTTAGCATTGTTACCTCAAAATTTTTAGACACATCCTTCACCTGATCAGCAATTTCTTGCCTCTTTTGCTGAGCTGCAAGTGCCAAAAACAAATGGTTACAATGGCCTGAAAGATTCACGAGAACAGGGAAAAAGATGGAAATAATAGTTACCCATTTTAGATAGATCCTCCATTCTCTTTGATGTCCTCACTGCAAATCTTTGAAAACTAGCGCTGAGATGAAGAGAAAGAGGCCTTTTAGTGGGTATATTCAGAAGATAACATCTCAAGCATTACCCAAATTGCTCAAGTTACTTCATTTTATTATATTTTAGCTCTAAGAATCAAAAAGTATATACAGTAAATTGAAGATGTTAGATGTAACACAGTATAAAATAAATTTTGAAAAAAGACATTTCACACATATAGTTCTCTTCTTGACCAGTACCCACCAGTAGAATAGATATGAAATTCCTTAATCTCCTACAAGTTTGGCCTTCAGAATATATTACTGACTGTTAAGTTTTGGAACCACTAAGATGGCTACAAGAAATAGTGGCAACAGAAGACTTTAATCCATTAGGCAATCGCTTATTTAAAGCTAAGCTAACCATAACTTAACAGATTCCTTATTCTTTGTTTAGTTAGAACTGCACAAAAATGAAAACCGCCTTTGCCTTTGCTTGTAGTTGCATAGCAAAGAGACATGGAATCAAACGCACTATAACACAAGATTGACATATATGACAACACACAACAAACCACCCCAGAATTGATGAAAGATCATATTTCTTCCGGTCAAAGCAAAAGGCATCATATGCAAACAAATACTTGTAAGAAGAATCACTTTCTCAACAAGGCACCAAGTATAATGAAGATAGCACAGATTTTGAGCTATCACACTGATATGGTCTCACAACCATTACAAACATACAAAATTAAGATAAGAAGATGACCAGGCAGCCTTGGATCATCATATGTTTAATCATCGAATCACAATCATCTTAACAATCACTAGAAACCCTAATGATGTTAACACAATTACGTTGCAAAGAGAAGTCGAACAATAATCCTACACAAAGGCCATAAACACAAATAGCCTCAAAATAGGAAACCCTAATGATGTTAACACAATTGCTTAGGGAAGATGAAAAAGGAATAGCTTCAGTCTGTTAAAGAGTTTTTAGCAAAAGAATTGCTATCATCTAGTCAATCATTACAAGCCCAAGGAGTCATCATCAGCATGCATGCGATATTAGAACATGTAAAGATCAATGCGGTATAGAACACGTAAAGATCAATAACAGACGCAGTCCCCTAGTATGTTTCCAGCTAAATTATATTTTTTGGGGGTCATTGTAGGCTATGCATCACCAACAAATCAATGACAACCTTCCATACAAGATAAATCCATCTTAAGGTTCCTCATATTGACACACATCTCCCAAAGGTCAGAGGCGGACCTACATTGTGAGTCATGTGCACCCGTTAACCACGGAAAAAATCATATGTATACAAGTTTATATACCTTATGTACAGTATATATTGATTACTAGGCACCCTAAACTACAAATGATGTTTGGGGGAATTGGTCTAGGTGAGTTTCCATGTGTTTTCTTAGCTGGGTTCGAATCCTTGCACCTACAATGAGGGAGCTTATATTTTACATTTTGAGGTTAAAAATGTCCTAAACAGACGGAAAAGATTCAAAAATTGTGGCAAGCAGGATTTGAACTCAGAACCTTGTTGGGATTAAGTATAGCCCTATGCCAGTGGCACCTAAGGTGCTTTTATTAATTTCAGTTGTATCATGTTTGTTTTATTTGCAGACTCCACTTTGTGGGATTATGGATTATACAAGGTATATTTTTGTTATATTATGTTTTATTTTGTATATACACATACAAACAAGGCGGCAATCAGAGATGGATTAGTTGCATATTACCTCATATAAAAACATAATTGACTATTAAGAGAAATTCAAACTTGGAGCATCAAACAACAGAACTTTTGACTTGATCAATAATCATATGATATGATCATTAATCAAGAAAAAATTGCAGTGCAAAAAAGGGTATAGACAGTTCTTTTACAGGAGAATATATGCACGAAATTGATTACGCGAAGTCATACGAACTCTCGAAGTCATCATCCCTCCCCTCCCCTCAATATCAGAGAAACATTAACCAAAATAGAATTAACTACCTGTTGGAGAGCCCGTTAACGATCAATTCATTGGCGACATAAGAAATGACCCTATGAATGAAATTTCCTCCACCAGCCATGGCTGAGATTGCACAACTATACACAAATAAGAAAACAAATCAATACACATATACAGAAATATGAAACTCATACAGTTTTCGCTATAATTGAAAAATCTCCGAAGATCGAACAATAGATTAAGTAAGAAAATCGAACAGATCGAAGAAACCCTAACCTGGGAAACGAGATATCGCCAAATCTGAAGGGGAAGAACTTTAAAGAGGGAAATAATGCAGGGAAATTGTATTTATAAGGTAACTGGACAAGTGGGCTATGTGGCCCAATTAACGATGGGTGCCAGCGGCCCAGAATAACGTCCTTCAACAACAAAAAGTAGTTGAAAATATCTACATTAATAATAAAAAAATAAAAAATAAGATAAAAATTATATTTTTGTAACATAATATAGCATAAGGCATGTAAAAAAAATAAATATAACATAAGGCATGTCTTATGTGGCTTAATTTCTACGAAACTTATTTTATAATACTAAGTTCATATAAAAGTTTCTTTGAAAACAAACATGCTTTGAAGCTTGAGCAACTTGGCCATCCATGTCAAGGGTTTAAATTCTATTCATTTGTATTTTGTGTTAGAGAAAAGAAGTTAGCATTGTTCAAAAATCGTCTCAAAAAAGATTTTGTTTCACTTAAATATTTTCTGAAATTAGTATTAGTTAGTTAGTAGATTATATTTTCGAATCAATTAATTTATAATTATTTTATTTCGTTAAGATTAAAAAGCTTATTAATTAATC